CCTCCCTCCCTCCCTCCTTTCCTGGGTCCTGCCGTTTCCATCCCGTTTCCGAATCTGCTCTGGACGCGGAGCCGGGTGGCCCGACAGGCGGGCGAGAAGGGAGGCGCGAAAGGCACCCGGGGGCTGTTTGGGGCTGGTGGGGAGTGTGCGGTTTGGCCTCCGGGCTCTGATGCCCGGCTGCTGCTTCTCTGGCCAACGAGACCCCCGATCTGTTCCCACCCAGGTCCGGACGAAGGACCACCGCTTTGAGAGTGTCAGCCACCTGATCAGCCACCACATGGACAATCGGCTGCCGATCATCTCGGCCGGCAGCGAGCTGTGCCTACAGCAGCCCGTCGAGCGGAGGCAGTGAGCGGGAACAGGCTGGGGGCCGCGCCGCGACGCCACGCGACTCCCGAATGCCCCCTTTCTCTCCAGCTGCGGGGGCTTCTCCGACAGCTCCCGGGAGCGCGCCGCCCCCTCGGCCGAAGCGTCCGGCTCTCCCGAGGTGAGCTCCCACGCCACCACGCACTCGCCTCTCGCCACGTCTCAGCTTTCCCTCCTCGCTGCAACGGGCCGGCCAAGACGCTAGTCCTCAGTGAGGGCGCTCCAGCCTTAGATTTGCCGGCTGCGCTGGATTTGGGTCGGGGGGGGGATCAAGTCGCCCCCCCCCCCCGCCACTGGCCATGTTTCGGAAGAGCCGGGCGGTCTTTCGCGGGCCACGCGGTGCCTTGTGGAATCCTCTCCGGAGGCAACTGATGCCAAAGTCCCTGTCTGGGTTTGTTTTGTGGGAGATGGGGGGAGGAAGCCGTGACCTCCCCCTTCCTTAAAGCACAAAAAGGAAAAAGGGGGGGAGCGACTCCCTCGGGTCTCCACGTCAGACCCGCCCCTCCCTGCACACAGACCCCTCTTGTTCACTTTATATACGTTCTGTGTGTGCCTTGATCCTTTTACAGGTCGGATTTTATGCAAAATTCCTCTTGCTCCGGCAGTTCTCGGCACTGCCTGGTGGATTTTCTTTGGGGGGGCG